TTTTTTTGGTTTTTTTTTTTTTTTTGGTTTTTCGAGACAGGGTTTCTTTGTGGCTTTGGAGCCTGTCCTGGAACTAGCTCTGTAGACCAGGCTGGTCTCGAACTCACAGAGATCCGCCTGCCTCTGCCTCCCTCCACCATCGCCCAGCTCAACTCAAAAATTTATAAGTCACTTCAGTCTACTTAGGTTACCGACTCTTACCTACACTCCCTCCCCACTGCACTCTGAACAAGAACTACCTCTACTCACCAGCCCAAATCATCCGCTGTATAGGGAAGCCAACACTAAACAGGAGTAAGTGTAAAGATCAATGTGAAGTAAATTCTTTCTCCTTTCCATTTTATAAAATGGGAACTATATAAACCATCCTTAACTGTCACATTAAAGATTCCCTCTTCACCTGCCTGCCCCCCAAGACAAGGTTTCTCTATCTATATAACAGCCTTGGCTGTCCTGAAACTCAATCTGTAGATCTCCAACTGACAGAGGTCTGCCTGCTTCTTTCCCCTGAGAGCTGGGATTGAGGTGCGCACCACCACTGCCTGGCTTAAGGACAGGCTTTTATAGTGAGTCAAATGTGGCAACCAAGACCTTTTTATTAATGATTATCATGTATGGAAAGTAATCAAATCCAAATAAAATGCAGTTCAATAAAAAACTAATAAAGGCGGAAGGTAAATAATCTAATTCTTCAACAAAACAAAACTACAATATTGTAGCCATAAAGACTATGCTAGCGGGCACATTTACATACAATTGTGTAGACTAGGAAACCACTCTGATATGAAGCCAAGGAAATAGTTTCTGGACTTTGACCCCAAGGAATTACATAAGTGTGACCTTTTAAAGATTGGTGGTTGTCTGTCTGGAAATATGTAAGGGAAATCATTGGAAATATAACCATCTCATTAGAACACTCAATGAGGCTCTATTCTATTGGAAATATAACCATCTCATTAGAACACTCAATGAGGCTCTATTCTATTGGATACCTACTAGTAATGACAAGAGTTTCTGGGTAGAGAAAATGAAGGTCTCTAGATTTTAAAAGGTGCTTGTTATGCTAGCTCTTACAATATTTTATCTTCCTGGTTAAACTAACAAAAATTATTCAATAACAAGAGGCTTGACCCTTAACACTGTGAACCAAAAGCTGGTTAAACCAGACAACAATGCACACCTGTGATCCCAGAACTCAGGAGATGAAGACAGGAGGTCCGCCTAGGCTATAAGACTCGGTGTCAAAACAGCAAGAAACCAATAAAAGCCTAAGTCTCTAAGATGTATTGTCAGAACCCACATGATGGAAGGATTGAATCCACCCCCAATTGTTCTCTGATCACCACACCTGAACAGTGGAACAATAGCCATTTTATATTAACTTTTTAGCATGTGTATGTATGTACCTGTGTGTAGGTATGTGCACCAGGGTACACAAGTAGGTACCCATGGAGTCCAGAAAGAGCATCACCAAAGCCTCTGGAACTGGTGTTACAATGGTTGCTCTAGGAACTCACCGCAGGTCCTCTACAAAAGCTGTATATGCTCTCAATCACTGAGCAATCTATCAGCCCGTATTATATTAATTTTAATAATGTAAATAAAATAGCATTTTTCCCCTTAGGAGAAATGTTACAATGGAACCTTTTCCACTAAGGCAATATTAAATACGTATGCTGTTAATAAAATCCTGCCAGGTGTATAACATGAAGTGTTTCTTTACCTTTTCCATATACTGTGAGCAATTTGATTCTTGTAATAGATTTGAAGCTTCTTGCTTGTAATATTCTCCTGTTTCAGTCAAAAATGGAGACACAAAGATTCCCTGATAAAACTGAAAAATCAATTAAAATTTTATTAGTAAAAACTGAAATAATTTCAGAAACTAAAGGTCTCATCATGTTTTGAAGTAGACTTTTTTTACCTTTAAGGGAAATTTTTTCTTATACTGTTCAACATGAACAAAGGAGTTAATAACCCCATGGATTACTTTCTGGTTTGGGTCTTCTCCACCACGATCACTGAAACGAAGTATAACACATATGCTTGAGAACACAACATCTGCACACGTACATGCCAATACACAGCTGCTAACTTAGTGCCTAATAAAACTAGGTCAAAACGCACATATCAACTGTGAAACAGCTTTTTGTTATTATTATAGCTAACACAGTGATGGAAGCGGTGCGGCGTGACTGTTGCTGAGACAGCTCTTCAGCTGTATCCAGACACCGGACTGAATGGGGAGGACAGAAAGCCTCTCTAAACTGCAGCTTTTAGACAAGAACTAAACATCATTCGAACTGGGAAGAAAAAAAGGTAAAAGTATTGGTTTACATGTGGCCTTGGGGACATATACCACAAATTTTATACAAAAATTATTAAAGTAACTGAATTCATTTACAGAATACAGAATAAGCATACAGAAATTAGTAGTGTTCCTATTGGCCAATATCAAACTACTTAAATCAGAAGAAGGCAATCCAATTTTGTATTTGCTATGAGAAATAACCAGAAAAACCTTAATGAAAAAGTGATGAAATTAAAGTGAACTCAAAATTAGTCAGAATTGACAGAAACAACCACTACATGCTAAGAACATAATAGTCGATAACTAAGCACTAACTCAGACAGAAAACCCATACTCACTTTTTGATTTCTCTGAGCAGCATTCGGATGAGGATGTTCTGAAGGGGTTCAACCATTAACTTCCTCCACATATCCAATGCTAGCTGCCAGGAACAACAGAAATCAAAGGCTGAATTAGGTAGTTTTCCCATTCATTCTAGCAAATTTTTAAAATAGAATAGAAATAAAAAAGAAATATTGATATTTTAAAATACAAGTAAAAGCAAAAGGAAAAATAACATCTCATTTAAAGGAGCAGTCATCACATCAGAATTATAAAACTAAAAACATGTGTATGTTTGTAACACGTGTGTGGGCCTGTGTACCACGGTGCACACATGGGAGTCAGCACAAATTTCTGGAGTACTCGGTGGGCTCCAGGGATCAGTCTTAGCATGTCGGGAGGCAAGCACTTGTCCCATAGCTGCTCCACCTCCTCTATGGCTTTAACAGCCATGGAAAATCTTCCTAAAGCAGCTGCTTTATAAAATCCTTATTGATTAGGAAGTATTTATATACTAGGTACAGATGAGCTAACCCTGCAACTCATACAGGTAGAAAGGGAGAAATGATACCAAAATTATCCTCTGGCCTCTATCATGCAATGGGCAGATGTACATCATTCTTTTATACACATAACAAATTTAAATTTAAAAACAAATTTATGTTTGCAGCCACTTAGAGAATTTCTTACCTCTCCTATTTCCATAAGTGGTTCATTCATATCTACTCCACCATAGCCGTATTGTAAATCGGCTTCCGTCAATTTATTTTTTTTAATATATTGGGTATTGAGATACCTGAAAAATCAAACAAATACACAGGATGTAAACTCAAACTTAGTTAGGAAAATAAATAATTTGTGAACCTAGAATAGCAATCTTAGGATCATAAGTTTACAGACTAATTCAGTGATAACCCCATAAGAAACTATTATATACAAGTTAGAAAGAAGTGAAAACACTAAATTACCAGCCCTGAACTTTCTGCAAGGGTTACTACACCATAGAGTCCACTTAGCATTTTCCAGCAGCAGGAATTTCCCCTGTATGCTACTAACCCTGGGTTTAAGCCTCAGTACAGAAGAAGAAAGTATGCTCTCACCCCGGTTCTCTTGTTTTTAATTGTTTTAATTTTACTATATATTTTGCACACCCCTTCCTTCCTCCCTTCTCCCCTTCCACCAGCACCCAGCCCTTCTAGTTGGTCAACAGTGAGGCGCATTCCCTTCTTAAAACAAAACTACTTGGTGAAACTAGCATTTCTTTACATTGATTTCATTATACATTCTTACAGACTATGACTAGTCAGTAAACAAGGAATGGCCTAGACGAAATGCCCAGTTCAACACCCAAGAAAAACACTATCTAATTAAATAATGGCATCTGTGAAAAGATCTCATTACTAACCTTACCGATAAAATACCAATACTACAAAGGACAATTAATTGACTCCCATAGTCATCAGCTCTGATTGTGCTACAGTGGGAAGTTAGTGATTTTAGACTGCAATCAAGAGCACTGTTAGTAAGATAACATAAACCAGATAGGGTGGCATACACCTATAATCCTAGCGCTTGGAGCTGACAAGACTCTGTTAAATTAAAAAAAAAAAATCAAACATTTTTAAAAGCATGTAGAAACAGTATAGTATAATAAAATCAACAAGCCCTGTAGTCTGACTGATGGGGTTCCCATCCTGCCTCAATTACCAACTGGCTGACTTCAGAATCACTACCGACCTCACATGGTGCTTATAACTAGTACTAACACAGCCAGGCAGTGGCACAGCCTTTAATCCTAGTATTTGGGAGGCAGAGGCAAGTGGGGATGTCTGAGTTCGAGGTCAGCCTGGGCTAGTTACAGGAAAGCCAGGGATATGCAGAGAAACCCTGTCTCAAAAAACAAAACAAACCAACAAACAGGCAAAAAAAAAAAAAAAAAAAAAAAAAAACAACCCAACCTCGTACTGGCATAACAGCATTAAATAGTCAATTGTCAATCCATCCTGATGACTAGGACCACAGCAATTACAGCCCAGGAAAGTAACAACATGAAGAGCTCTTTCCCAAGTCAAGGAGACCCCCCCTCAGCTGAGGAGACCCCCCCTCAGCTGAGGAGACCCCCCTCAGCTGAGGAGACCCCCCTCAGCTGAGGAGACCCCCCTCAGCTGAGGAGACCCCCCTCAGCTGAGGAGACCCCCTACGGCACAGTATACTCTACACTAAAGGCCCAGGCGTATAAGCAAAGGAAAAAGCATGCACACACACCCACTCTTCAAATTCTAACACTACAATTTACCTAGGGATTACCTTAATAAAACATCAGTATCTAATGTATAAAAAAGTGTTTCACACAATTTAACTCCACAATAAACCTGCACTTTATAGTAAACTGATCTTTTTTTCTAGACAGGGTTTCTCTGTAGCTTTTGGAGCCTGTCCTGGAACTAGCTCTTGTAGACCAGGCTAGCCTCGAACTCACAGAGATCCACCTGCCTCTGCCTGGGATTAAAGGCGTGCACCACCATCGCCCGGCTTGTTTATTTTGATTTTATAGGGGATTATTGTTAAGAGATTGCATGAATCTCAGTAGAAACTTTTAACTTTGAACTTTTACATTGTTGAGACTGTGATAGACAATATGGACTTTTGAAGTTGGACCAAATGCATTTTGCATTATGATATTATTATAAGCTTATGAGGGCTGGGAAGTGTAATATAGTAATTTGAATGTAATTGCCCCCATAATTTCAGGACATCGTGGCATTATCAGGAGGTGTGTCCTTGTTGGCAGAAGTGTGTCACTGTGGAGACAGGTTTTGAGGTCTCATATATGCTCAAGGCATTGCCTAATGTCTCAGAGCACTTCCTGTTGCCTATAAGATGTAGAATTCTTGGCTACTTGTCCAGCACCATATCTGCCTGCACTCTACCATACTCCCTGCCACGATAATGGGCTAAACCTCTAAAACAAAACGTCAATTAAATGTTTTCTTTTATAAGAGTTGCCATAGTCGCCGGGCGGTGGTGGCGCACGCCTTTAATCCCAGCACTCGGGAGGCAGAGGCAGGCGGATCTCTGTGAGTTCGAGACCAGCATGGTCTACAGAGCTAGTTCCAGGACAGGCTCCAAAGCCACAGAGAAACCCTGTCTCGAAAAACCAAAAAAAAAAAAAAAAGAGTTGCCATAGTCACAGTGTCTCTTCACAATAAAAACCCTAATTAAGACAAAAAGAAGTCTGCTTTACTGAGTGAGTCCTAGTTACTTTCAGAGGATCCCTAAGACTATAGTGCTTAGTTATGGCACAGCCATGTTAGCTTATATATAAACAATCAATGACATTTATTAGAATTTAAGATCTGTCATTATGCAATAGACAACTGTTCTATTTTTATGGCCTATGAGACTGAATCAAATAGGAGCAGCACAGAGAACCATAGAAATACAAGACCTAAGCTGGAGATGATACCGAAAAGGGAAATTGGAAAGCAGACTAAGAAGAACGTGCCAGAATTAGTCATCCAGAGTACAGCCAGACGGAGCAGTGGGGGGAAGACAGGAGGAGAGGAGAGCAGGGAGCACAGCTATGGCTGAATCAACCTGCCCAGAGGACCTTAAAGAAAACAACCAGTGTTTCAACAGTGGCCAAATAAAGCCTGAAAAATGCATATTAGTCTTCTCCAAATGTACGTGGGGACATGGCTTAGATTTTACCCTAAGCTTCATCCAATCAGAGCTCCTGCACCATTCCTGCTGAAATTTACCATGTGGTCCACACAATTTGAAGGAACTGACTTGAAACACTTGTCTTTTCCACGGGGTTAAGTGTCTACATAACTACCTGTCTCCGATACACCTTTCTCTGACTGTAGACCTACCTAACAACGTTCCTATTATTAATCCATATTCCACTGAGAAATAATAGAAATTACTCCTTAATAACCAAACCCATTAGTATAATATACACTAAAAATAAATTATTGGGGTAAAGACAGCCCAGTGAAGAGCACTGGTTGCTCTTCCAGTCCTAACAGCCACAACCAAAGGGATCTGATGCCCTTCTGGCCCCAGGACACCAGGCATGCAAATGCTTCAGAGACACACAGGAAAAACACCCATATACATAAAAATAACCTTAAAAATGAGTTATGGATGCAGGCAGTAATGTAAGTGGTCAAGATTCTAAAGCACTCACCTATATAAGCAGTCCATATAGTCGGCACCCTTGCTGTACTCTTCCCAATACCTATGATACATAACAAGCACTTGTTCTTCAGACTCCAGAACTCTCTAAACAGAAAAAACATTTTTGCTTTGAAAGTACTAATCATTTTCATCACAATAAAATTACAGAAGGTATGGAATCAAACTTCTAAAGATAGCATAAATCAAGCATTATCGTCCACATTATAAATTACATTTTAACTATCTTTACTACAAATGAAACTGGGGGGAAAATGTGAGCCTTAGAATAAGAAAAAAATGACTATCAAAGATTTCTTCAAAATAAAAGGAAAAATGATCATAGCTAAGTTTTTTTTTTTTGGGGGGGGGGGGTTGTTTTTGTTTTTGTTTTGAGACAGGGTTTCTCTGTAGCTTTGAGGCCTGTCCTGGAACTAGCTCTTGTAGATCAGGCTGGTCTTGAACTCAGAGACAGACAAGTGCAGCTGCTGCTGCTGCCTCTGCCACCACCACCTGGCTTAGATTCTTCTATTTGAGATAGATGACATGACCTAAGATTGTAGATCAATAGTAGCATGCTCACCTAGCATGAGCAAAGTTCTGTGTTCAATCTGTAGCACCATAAAAATAATAGAAAACAATCCTACTATATTCATGTATTTCTGCATAAAAGTTATTTTAAAATTGTTTGAGACAGGACCACTTAGAGCTTAAGCTGGCCTGTAACTTGCAATGCTCCCCTAAGCTGGGGTTACAGGTGTGCAATAGTACAACCAGTGTGAGCACTGCTGGGAAACAAACCTAGTTTTCTTGTTAGATAAGCAGTCTACTAACTGAGAGCTAGGTCAGTCTTCAACTCTTCTTTATGATAATGTAGCTTTGTAGGCTAGGCTGGTCCAGAACACTTTGTAGCCTAGGATCACCTTGTACTCACAGAAACCCTTCTATTTCATCTTGGATAACATGATACCTTGTCTCAAAAAACAAAAAACCAATCACAGCCTAACTTAATAAATTCCAACATTAATAAATATCTTACATGGTTATGAATTATCTATAGCCAAGCTCACTAGCTTATAATAGTCAAACTTTGAACCAATGCAACATATTAAACATTGAACCAATTTTAAAGAACTTGCTATCAAAACTGCCATGATAAATGCACACACTAAAGAATACATGCAATGATGCAATGGATAATAAACACGTGTTAAAAGTAGTATATTTCTTCCACATGTCTTAAGAGACATATTAATTGTTCAGCTCTCTGGATCAACAGGGTATCCATTATCAAGGGAGAGGCTGTGTTGTTTGACATGCAGTAAGACCTGATGATCGCCCAACTTCTAATTAAGACAGATGGCAAATTCCAGTTTAGGTTGCAGCTGATCTCCAGCTCCAATGGTCTACAGAGACCATTCAGGGTCAAAGAAGTTTTAAATTGGTGAGATTTGAGATTAGGTAGCAGATATAAATAACCCCTGAAATACCAAACTGATTTCCCCTGTTAACCAAATAACACTGCTGTTTAAGAAATTTAGGTCAAGCCGGGCAGTGTTGGCGCACTTTAATCCCAGCACCTGGGATGCAGAGACAGACAAATCTCTCCAAGTTCGAGAATAACCTCTTCTACAGAGCTCTAGTTCAGGACACAGAGAAACCCTGTCGAAAAACAAATAAAAAAATACCACCCTAATTTGATGGCTGTTTTCCTCTGGAAATCAGTGAGCTAGTCAAAGAACCTCAACTGTAAGCACAGGCACATCACAACTGTATCGTCCCTTACCTTGTGCAAATGCCGAACATGATTTTCCAAAAAAATCTTTGTTTCTGCATAAAGTCTTTCTCCAAGTGGTTCAGGATAGGCCACGCATAAAGCATAAATATCTCTAGATTGATTATTAAGGTTCTCATAGTCAAAACATGATACTTATATATGGTATCAAAAGAAGAAAGATCAGCCAGTCAATCGTGGCACAAGCCTTTAATCCCAGCACTCGGGAGGCAGAGGCAGGCGGATCTCTGTGAGTTCGAGACCAGCCTGGTCTACAAGAGCTAGTTCTAGGACAGGCTCCAAAGCCACAGAGAAACCCTGTCTCAAAAAACCGAAAAGAAAAGAAAAGAAAAAAGAAAAGAAAAGAAAAGAAAAGAAAAGAAAAGAAAAGAAAAGAAACATCAGCCTGGGTGCTGTGGTACCCTGTAATCCTGAACTGCTACGTCTACCTCTCTATTGCTGGGAATACAGGTGTACACCATCCAAGACCAAAGATGCAGATACAAACTGAAAACATAGGGCAATTAGGGTAGATTCATGCATATGTACTAAATACAAAGAACAGGAACTATGACGACACAGAAAGGGCTGGAGAGATGTTCCTACACCCAATGACAGCTCACAGCTGTCTATTAACTCAGCTGCAGTCATCCTTTTTTGGACATGAAGCATGCTATGTGCCACAACCACACAGGCAAAGTAAAACCATCAATACACTTGTATTATCTGTAGTATATAATAAACCTTATAAACTAAATTACCTGATTAAAAAGACACAGTATGGGAGGGGGCAGAAGCGATGGCTCAGCTTTTTACGCTGTTCTATGTTCCTTGAAAATAGCTATTAAATCTTATTATTAGAAGCACTGACACCAGATTTTTGCTGTTGTTAAATCCAGGCATCTCATCTAAGATAACAGCACTTGCAAGGCCCGTGTGAGTCTGAAAACAGTGTGGACTGGAGTGAGACCCTTTATGCTTTTAGGTTTGTCTGCTATACTCCCAAAGACCACAGTAGTGCCAGAAACACACACTCAGGATTTGTGCTTGGAATGTGTTGGATAGAAGGTTGTGAAATTAATATAAACATACCCTAGAACAGTTATACCTAAGACTTTAAGCCTGTTTTCATTTAACAAGCTTTGATTTGGTGTTTCTTGTGGCTTCTATTAAAGGATACGAGAAGCGGTCGTTCCATGTTGCTCTTTCAACATATTCCAGCATAACAACAGCTTTGATTGTAGTTAGGAGTTTGTTCCATGTCTCATCAAAATCCACTACTCTTGGTTTTAAAGACATTGTGCAACTTTAGTGTTGAAACCTGTTAATTAAAAACAACAACCATGTTAGCAGGAATCCCACAAGATGGTTATGTTTTTAAAATGCCACTTAATTTGGGCTGGGGATCTGTTTCAGAGGCTAAGTACTCGTGGAGGACCAGAGCTGGAGGACCAGAGCTGGGTCTCCAGCACCCATGACAGGCAACTCCAGTTCCAGGAGGATCCCATGCCTCTGGCACCCACAGGTACCTGCATATGTGCACATACTCAGACACATACACGTAATTAAAAATAATAAAAAATATTTAAAGTATCACATAATTGAATCACATGATAGGTAAAAGGAGTAGAAATACAAATGAACTCAGAAACACAATAAACGCTAGCCACCACCATTTCATAATCAAATTGTTTATGAACAGTATGTGCTTTCAAAGACTGATAAGCTTTGCCAGGCTGTGGTGGCACACGCCTTTAATCCCAGCACTCGGGAGGCGGAGGCAGGCAGATCTCTGTCTATAAGAGCTAGTTCCAGGACAGGCTCCAAAGCTACAGAGAAACCCTGTCTCAGAAAAAAAAAAAAAAAAAAAAAAAAAAAAAAAAAGAAAAGAAAAGAAAAAAGATTGAATTAGTATACTGCTGAAGAAATTTGTTAAACAAGACTCTCATAAAAAATATATAAAGAGGGCTGGAGAGATGGCTCAGTGGTCAAGAGCATTGCCTGCTCTTCCAAAGGTCCTGAGTTCAATTCCCAGCAACCACATGGTGGCTCACAACCATCTGTAATGAGGTCTGGTGCCCTCTTCTGGCCTGCAGACATACACACAGACAGAATATTGCATAAATAAGTAAGTATTAAAAAAAATGCAAAGACGCTGAATAAAGACTTTGACCGCAAATCCTGCTGCCTGTAATCTTCATCTGGAGAATGATTTATATATAAGAGAATATAAAATATCAAGAAGTGAAAGGGTTTATCTTCCTAGAAATATATTTTAGAAAAAGATTATTTACATTTATATAAATAAACAGGAGGAGCTAAAGAGATAGTTCAGCAGTTAAGAGTTCTGGCTCCTCTTGCCAGGACTCACAAGGCTGTTCATAACCATATCTAACTCAGATTCAAAGGGATGTGACCCTCTTCTGATATCCATGTGCAGCTCGCATGCATGTGGTATGCATACATATACACAGGCAACACATAAATCAAGACTGTAAAGACAATACATAAGCAAGGAAGAGTTTTAGAGTGAAACACGCTAAGCTCACATGACTTAGAAATGCCAGGTTTGCCCAAGAGAAAGCTTGAATAGATAGATTCTCAGGTTGCACAGCAAAAGTACTAGAAGAAGTATGGTTTCAGCATATGGGATCAAGTGAGGCCAGAAGATGCTCTACGCCTGGCAGACAGCACTTATGAGTGGCTTGCAATGTTACAGAAAACTGGCATAAGCAAAAAAAAAAAAAAAAAAAAAAAAAAAAAAAAAAAAAAAAAAAAAAGCCCAGTATGGTGTGCAACACACCAGTAATTCCAAACTGAGTTTGATACCTAGGACACAGAAATCAATGCTCACAGGCTGATCTCTGATCTCCTTACATCTACACACACACTTGAGAAAACAAGCTTGACTCAAGCCCACATTGCCTTAGTCTATTTGCTGGGATTATAGACATAAACTACATTTCTTTCGTCCTACCAATAAACCAACCATTGCGCTTGCCATTTTCTGGATGAGAGTCATAGGAACACTGAGAAACACCAGGTGGCATCAGGAGACAGCGCCTGGGTCAGGTCCTTTCTTTCAGCTCTTAAATGGCTTCACTCCCATTTTTAGGGAATACCTACCCTTCCCAATTCATCATTTTCGGTTCTGTGGATGCATTGTAAAAATCTAAGCTGTGGGCTTAGTAGTGTGCTTGCTACCACGATTAAGGCACCAACATGATGACAAAATTAGGAATCCAAAATTCTTATCATTAGAATTCAGATCTAGACCCTGAGAGTAGCAGCACTCAGATGTGCATACTCCTAAACACATAGTTGCCATGTTTTGTTTTTAAGAACCTCAGATCTTGCTCTTATCAGAGATAACCTAGGCAAAAAGTTGACGGACTCACTAGACTATGTCTAGTCATGCCCTGACATAGCCCACTACAGGAAGCAGTTTAGACTCCTTTACAACATGATACTCCAAGCTTCCATGAAAAGGCTCCAGATAAGGCAGCTTCCTCTGGACAGTCACTTCTCTGCTTAGAGGTCACTGACTCACTAACCTGGCTTATAAATCCTGCCTTGATCCTTCCTGATTCTCTACCTAAAATAACTCCCCTCCACACACATTCCCTAAACTCCTATGAAATACCACCTGGATCCATGTCCAACTGCTTTTAAGAAACCTTGAGTCCCATTTGACTCACATTTGAGCGTCCCACTTTCCCTTCACCACCTTTCTTCTAGCCTGTTTAAGCCACATGAAAATGCTTTTAAAAAAATTTCCAACTCTGCTTCATAAAAACAACAAAACTTTCTTGGTGAGGGCGATATAGCCAAGCATGTAAACTATTCTTAATGTGCAGTTTTAATGGCAGCAGTCTGCACTCACCTTTACAGAATGGAGAACCGAGACCAGCGCTGAACATGGGGAGTAGTGATATAGTGATAAGCCATGCTCGGAGAGAAACCGTTCTAGCTAAGGTGAGACAACCACCTGCATTTTCACCAACCAAGTGAAACACCGAACATTAAACCAACACAGAACATGAAAATAGTGTCAGATGGTTTATCCTCTAAAAACCTCAAAGAACACCTTTTAAGTTGCTTCTTTTTCTCGAAATCCTTTAAATAACATTCAAATTCAAATTTACACTAAGATGGAACACAGGGCAAAGAAACAAATCAAAATCACAACCACAATACTATTTCCCGCCTTCCAAGCTACTGAAAGGCTCATTTAAACATGGGCTGTGTACTTCAGCATGTGACAAGACCCTGGGCTCAGTCTCCAAATACACCCCAGATACACCCCAGAATACATACTGTTCGACGGTGTGACCCTCATAAGGCATACTCACTCAAACTAAGAAGGCTATGATGTCACAGGGCAATATACTCTCCAAGAGACCACCCTGGCTGAAACAGTTTAAATACACATCTGTGTGAATTCTCCATTCTTGTTCTAATATGGGACCCAATACACTTCCCATTCTCAACCAGATTGTGTCAATTTTTTAGCTTTCTTTTGATTTTATTCTTGAATTGGTGAGGTGGGATTTTTGTTTCTTTTAACCCATAACCCAAGCCCCATGAACACCATGGGCCCTAAACACCCTCCAGATCCAGAAATGGTGGCACATGCCTGTATGTAATCCCAGTACTTGGGAGGCTAGATAGTCTAGGCTACATGATGAGTTTCAGACCATCCTCAGTCACAGTGTGAGAAGTCCCGGCTACAAATATTTCCAAATTGTTAAGTCAGCTGTAATAGGATGCCTGTGGCACATCTCTAATCCCATCACCGAGGAGGGTGAAAGAGCAGTGATTTCTAAGACCCCCAAAAAGAAAAAACATAGAAAAGAAAAAAAGCTACAAAGATCTTTAATTATTTCTAAAAGTCAACCCTAACATAAATATGAGATTTTATATTATATTTTATCACACTGCTATATTAAATTTCCATTTATAGCACTATTTAAATATGCAGGATGAATTAATATACCAAAGTAGGTCACGGCCAAGTGGTAGTGGCACACACCTTTAATCCTAGCCCTCAGGAGGCAGAGGGGGAGGATCTCTGAGTTAAGGCCAGCCTGGTCTACAGAGTGAGTTTCTGAATAGCCAGGGCTACACAGAGAAACATTATCTTGAGAAACCAAAACCAAACAAAAATGCTAAGTCACTGTTTTAGTGAAAATATAATTTAATAAAGCTTTTCATTATGGACTATATAATTCTTACCAACCATGTTTAAGGCACCTACTAGGGTCAGGTGGGAAAGAGTCCATTAGCATATCACATAGCAGACAGTTCTGAAACTCTCCCTTGTCCTCCTTGTCCTCAAGTGTTGTAGTTAATGGTTGAGAACACTTGCTGCGCTTGTAGGACCCATTTTCAGTGCATTCTGTAGACCAGGCTGGGCTCAAACTCAGAAATGAGCTAAGTGGTAGCTGTATAAGTAATACTATCAACAGACTGCTGGTTCCACCTAGCTGCTCCTGTATTTTCTTCATTTAACAGTATAAAAATAATGAAAAAAAGCAGTATTTACAAGTATACAATTGTATTGTTCAAAGATGAGGTGGTGTTTTCTACTGTTCTCTGTGCTGGGCACACCTTTAATCCCAGCACTTAGGAGGCAGAGGCAGGCCGATCTCTGTGAGTTCGAGACCAGCCTGGTCTACAAGAGCTAGTTCCAGGACAGGCACCAAAACCACAGAGAAACCCTGTCTCGAAAAAACAAAAAAAAAACAAAAAAAAAAAAAAAACCTTTAATTAACTGAAACCTTCAAATTGGAAATTAACACCTGAACACTTGAACATTTTAAGCATAACACAACATTTAGTAACTTTCTCTTCTTTCTGGTTTTTGCTGGGATTAAAGGCCTGCGCCACCACCAGGCTACATCTGTCTTATCTTCTATAGTCATTGCTGTCTACTGCTTTAAAATCTATCAAATGTGGGGTTCCCTGACCTAGAGACTCTTTAATCTCTTGCATAAAACAAAAAAAAAAGGCAAAGATAACAGCAGAAACAACAAAAAGTCCGTGTGGACTGAGGAGTTTTTAGTCAAGGACTACCTTGAGATGGGATGCCGCTTAGTTGGTAATAGTGCTGTTCTCATTTGGAGTGGCAGCACTCAGGAGGCTAAGCTTGAGGCCGGCTTAAGCTACACGCCTGGGGAGGAAAGAGTGGAGAACCAGCAGTCTCAAAAACTAGATCAATTCTTTACAGAAATATCTAAGATAGCTAACTGAAAAAAAAAAATAAAGAGCAAAAGTAATACAGAGAAGAGTCTCGATTAATTCTTCAAAATTGTAAAACTT